AACCCTACTGCAGCAACTACTTGTTCTAGTATTTTAGCGCTATTAAAGTTTGAAAAGCAACTCCGGCTGTCGGACAAGTGAAACGAGCCCTTTCCCTGTTGTTGTAATACCTCACTTATTTAATTTATTTGCTTAGATACGACTGTCGGACAAATAACTTGTCGGACAAACGGGGCATTCTCTTGTCGAATAAGAGCCTCTAATATTTCAAATGCTGATGAAGATTTGGCACAGCTATTGAACAAAGTACAACAACACACCAAATGCAAGGATGGTTATTGCCTTCGCATAAACAAAAAGACCAAAAAAAAAAGGATGCCGCTTTGAATTTCCCAAGAAACTGGAAGAAAGCACAACAATTGTAGTATGCCCTGAAACAAAAAAGGTACAATTAGTTACTGCAAGAAATGATCCTAGACTGAATAATTATAATCCGTACATAATCCAGACATGGAGAGCAAACATTGATATTTCAGCAGTATTATCCAAACAAGCATTAATCAATTATCTTGCCAAATACATCTCAAAGCCAGAGAGAGAATCAAAGACAATGGTTGATGTGCTGAAAGGGCTTCTCCAGACTACAGAGGAAGATAAAAAGGTCAAATCAGTTCTACAAAGACTTTACATTCAGTCAAGTTCTGAGCGAGATTTCTCAGCCCAAGAAACGTGCCACTTGTTGATGGGTTTAAATTTGACAAAAACAGACAATCGAAATTTTGTTACATTAAATTTTAATTCTTATAAGAGATATGTTCAAGTATCTGAAAATAGTAGACAAAAAAAGCATTCCATTGACAGATATTGTGAAAGAAAAGATACATTTGAAGACAAATGCCTATGGTATATGATAAAAAACTACAACTTGTCAACCCTCAAGAAATATAAAAAAGAAGCAATTGTTCAGATTTATCCGAAGTTGAAATTTAATGCAAATCAAGATGCGAACAATGAAGAATTTTTTAGGCAACAGGTGTTGCTTTATGTTCCATGGAGGAATGAGCAACAATTCCTTCAACAAGGTAAACCTTGGCAAGACATATTTACAGACAATGAAGGAACAATTTCTACCAACAAACAACATGAAACAGATTTGACTGAAATGACACCAGAAGAAACAGAATTTGAAGCAGATCAAGAAGATGAAGATGATTTCTACTCTGCAGAAGAATGGATGTGCATTTCAAACATGGGACCCAACCAAAATGTCACAGAAGTTGAGTTAGGAAGACGAGATGTTGACATTAATCACAACTGGCATGCTGCTTTATCCTCTTATGAAAAATATGGAACACTACCAGAACTGAAAAGTTTCCTTAAAGTTAAAAAGGAAACAGACAATACACCACCATCTGCAGTGCCATACCCTTCTGTAGATTTCACAGCTGAACAAGCCAGTATATCAAAATTAGTTGACATGCAGATTGAATCAATAATAAATCCAGAGTTCAAACCAAATTTCCAAATACCTCAGCGAATAATAATACAAGGCAAAGCGGGTAATTATGTCTTTCTTGTTTTTTTCTAATATGTAATGCTATTATTGAATAATATTTTCTTTACAAATTTTTTTATTTGACTAGGAACAGGAAAAAGTTTGGTTGTGCAGGCAATGAAACACAAAATTATAAATGCATTTGGCCACGAAGGTTTCCTCTTAATAACTCCAACAGGTGTCAGTGCAAAAAGTGTAGAAGGCAGCACAATACATTCATCTCTACACATCAACCCCAAGCAAAAAGAATTCCTACCATTAAAGGGACCTGCTGCACATGCTTTGGAAGAAAAACTCAGGAAAACGCACTTTATAATAATGGATGAGTTCAGCATGGTAGGATGCCAATTGATGCAAATGATAGAAGAGAGAATAACCCAAGGAAAAGGAAATGACACTGCTGACTTTGGCAACCTATTTGTATTTATTCTTGGAGATGCCCGCCAACTTCCCCCTATTGGATACAGTCCAGTGTATTCTGATAATATAAATTCACCAGAAAGATTAAGAGGAAAACTCATATATGACAACTTCCAAGGTGCAGTTGTTTTAAATCAAGTCCTACGACAAAATGATGCTGTCTTTCAAAATGTGCTTCATAACATAAGTGTTGGTGCTGTAAATAGGGAAGACTATAATGTCTTGAAGACACGATTCGCAACAAATATCAGTCCAACAGAAAGAGAAACTTTTAAAGATGCAATTCACCTCTACCCAACAACACTACAAGTCCTCAAACACAACAAGGAAAAACTTATAAGTATGAAAACCACCAATGGTCAACAACAACCAATAGCAAGAATACCAGCTTTACATAATTGCAATGCAGCAGCTCGGGGAACAAGAGATGATGCTGAAGGTTTGTTTCCTGTCCTGCACTTAGCAAAAGGAGCAAAAATTATGCTGAAAAGCAACCTGTGGACAGAGAAAGGTCTGGTCAATGGCGCAATGGGAGAAATTGTAGACATTTTGTACAGAGAAGATGCCAACCCCCAAATTGACCCACCTGATGTACTGATATGCAAATTTGACTCATACACTGGTCCATATCTTGACAATGACCTAAAAACTGTTCCCATACAGTCACTTACAAAGTCATGGACAAGTAAGGCAGGTGATGCTTGTACGAGGACACAATTCCCTATCACACTGTCATTTGCCTGTTCAATTCATCAATCTCAGGGCTTGACTTTGCAAAAAGCAGTCATAGACATTGGTTTAAAAGAAATGTCACCCGGAATAACTTACGTTGCACTGTCCAGGGTAAAAACCTTATCTGGGATCATGCTCCACTCATTCCCCTTCCAAAGAATACATCTCCTCAACTCCAAAGATTCCATCAAAAGAAGAAATGAATGGATAGCACAACTCGAAGCCATCAACATAACAAAGGCATTTACTTAAGCATACAAAGGACCACTAGATACTACAAAATGCCATTAGTTAACTCCAGCTCAAACAAATGTACAAAAAAATTAATAAAATGCTTATCCAACAACCAAGAAAAGCCCCTCACTTATAAAAATACTCATGCCAACAATAAACAAACATTACCCAAAGAATCAATAAAAGTCCCAATAATTTCCCTTAAACCCCACAACTTCTCCCACCCAAACCTATACCAGCAAAAATCACCAATACCCAACTATCCACCAAAATATCCTCACAAGAAATCCCTCAACACATCCTCACACACTCCATTCCCAACCCCACATAAAAACCATTAACACAACCCCACCACCCCCCACATGCCTGCAGAATTAAAATGAACAATCCCCACCCACCTATTCCGTAGGACTCAAATTTACAAAACTCTGACACTCAATCTCCTCTCCCACAAAAGGCGGACGGAGTTAAAAGGCGGATCTAATGGGTCGGTATTCACCGTGTTAAGGGATTCAACGATGTGAAGCCCCTGCAATTGCAATCTATTACTTAAAAGTCAGGGCTGGTCGTAGTGATAATATTGTTAGTATATTGTGAACTGTAGTCCATGAGAACTATCCATTATTTCAGAGGCATTGTTCCCATTGTTCATAAAATTTGACCAGAAATAAGAATCATGAAAGAGAAATTTTGAGTTTCTTTCAATTTAAGAATTATTTAGGGATTATTAATGAATGATCCACCAGAAAATAATTGATGACATTTCTTTACTTTAATGCAACTTAAAACACATCACATCCAAGTAAAAAAATTAAAATACAAAAATACAATGAATATAAATTACAATAAGAGACAGTAAAAGTATGTTTTTAGAATAAAACCAAATTACAATACATCCTACATGAATCATTCACACTTCCAACACAAACTTCATCTTCCATTTTGATTCCTTGCAACTTAATATGAATTTCATTCTCTGGTCCTCAATATGAACTGAAACTAAAATGAAAGCAGTTAATATTTCGTTCCAATGACATACAAGGTAGATGTACGCCAGACCACGTCTCGCGTAACAGGCTTCGCGATACCTCACGAAACACTGTTACGCTGTGACGCGCCTGGCATACATCTACCTTGGCCTGCGGCGCTGACATCCGAGTCAGGTAGTGCAAAAATGTGCACAAAGATATAGGCCTCCGGCCCGTCAACGCCCGTCACTTCGACTAATCATGCAGGGTTGTACATTCTTTTGCTTATTTTCGTCGAAAACACCCTCTAGCGCCTCAACGGTTTAAGCTAGAGCAAAACGGACAAAATTTTCGCCCACAGGGCTCTACTTTGATGAGTTACCCCTTAGGAAACCATAAAAAAATATTTTTAAAAAACGTCATTTTTGGGAACTGTTGTTTTCGATTTTTTAAAAATCCAATTTTTGAGCTAGAATGCTCATCTTCGAACTCGATCTGTCTTTTTATGATACAAAACGACCCTGAAAATCCCAGGTCGCTCGCTCAATTCGTTTTCGAGTTTTCGTGCGGACAGATACACAGACAGACAGACACACAGACAGACAGACAGACAGACAGACAGAAAAAGTTTTTTCCGACCAGACGGAGTAATAGGCTTCGCTAATCGCTCAGCCAAAAATACCGTACTGACAAAACATTACCTTGCGAGAGCTGGCACATCCCTCCACTGTTCGTGCAACATTTCTATATATGGAATTACTTCACTATCTATTTACAGAAAACAATGGTTAGTTGATAAGAAATGTATCATTAAAACATTATAAAAGATCAAAAATCTTACTTTTTTCTATTAAATCCATCCACAAAGATTTATCAACACGGATTTCACGAAATACAAGGTATGGATTCTTGTTTGACATCACATGTGACCTGACTATTTCAATGTCATCAGGCAATAATGAAGATAAAAACTGGAATGGAAGTTGAGTCTTCCATCTCTCCTGCTGTAGGTGATTTCCCAGTAAATACACTAACTCACCCTGTCCCAATTCCCAGTGAGGGACAGGAAGCATCTTTATTATTTTGTATGCCTTATTGGCCTGCAAATTTGCTAATCTAATGTAATGTAATGTAATGTATGTAATAAGAGTTTTGATGGGAGATCTGCTGAACAAGACTGTGGCAAGTGTTTCAAACCTGTTCACAAAACCAAGTGTGCTGATAAAATTCAGTCTGGACTTACGAAAAACCACTGGATTTATGCTTGCAAGAAGTGCCTCAAGTCGGCACCAGAAAGTGAGGTTATGAGCACCAAGGAATCACCAGCAGACGCCTCCCTAACTGAGGAGAACACGGGAATTAAGTCAATTCTTGAGCATATTAAGAAACTGGATAACTCCCTAAATGCTAAACTAGATAGCCATACTAGCTCCCTTAAGGATCTGCAATCCGGAGTGAATGACATTAAGTTAAGAGTATGCCAAATTGAAAAGAAAACTGAGGACCATGAGGAGAGGATTTGCATGCTTGAAGAGAGAAACAGCATACTCGAAAAAGAGCTTGAAAAATGCCAGACTTCAATTAACCACATGAATGAATACAATAGGAAGAATACCGTTGAGATATTTGGAGTACCAGCTACCAGAGATGAAAACTTATTTGAGATTATCAAAGACATAGGAAGGGTGTGCAATGTTTCCATTGAGACATCGAATATTGATGCCATTCATAGAGACCCAAGGAAGATAATCAACCCTATTGTTGTTAAGTTCGTACAGAGGGAAAAATGTAACGAACTCAAAGCTGGTAGACATGGGAAGAAAATAATGGCAAATCAAATAGGCTTTGAGGGCAACTCAAGAATCTACATCAATGTACTACTAACTAAAGAAAAAAGCCACCTAGCCTACCAAACCAGGTCTGTAATGAAGAATCTCTTTCAAGTCAAAGCCCATGTATGGGTCGATGATGCTTCCAGAATCTGGGTTAGGAAATCCTCCCAGGACCCCAATGAATCCAATATGAAGTATGAAATTAAAACCGACAGAGATATTAATCGTGTTGCCAGTGAATTAGAAAAGTCAACCTAAGTGAATAAATCGAGCTAGCAATGGGGTTTTCTAACGTTCTGTTACAACACTCATCCACGAACAAGCCTGAGCTCTTAGCCAAATCAATTTCATGTCTATATCTCAACGTTAGAAGCCTAAGAGCAAACCTGAAACTTGATAAAATCAAGACATACCTTGATTATTACTCTAATATATCCATCATTATCCTGGTAGAAACCTGGCTTGAAGATTCAGAAGTTCAGTTTTTCAATATTCAAGACTACAAGGCATTTCATCATACAAGGAAAAATAAAGAAGGTGGTGGTATATCGTGCTTCATCAATAAAAAAATACAGTGTCTAGATAGTAAAGCTGATGGGGAAGAAATCCAATATATGATGCTAAAACTCTTGGCTGGACAAGAACAATTTAATCTGATTGCGTTCTATAATCCCTCCATCACAATGGCTGTTGAAAGTAATCAAATACTACAAGATCTACTACAGCCAACTGGCAACATGCCTACCTTCCTTATTGGTGACTTTAATATAAACATCAAGGAACATTGCCCCAAGACTGACCTACATGTCTCAACTCTTTCCAATTATGGCTATGAAATTCTCAATAATCAGGTTACTAGGCCAGCCTCTAATACAGTAATAGATCACTTAGCAACTAATGTTATCAAAGGTCATATGGAAATCTTCACAGTCGAAAATAGAATAAGTGATCACAATGCTCTGATTTGGTCTTTCAAAATCAAAAATTGTTTTCTGCCACCTGACAGTCCTATCACAAGAAGAAAAATTAATACTGACAAACTAATCTCTAAATTTGCAGAATGTGTTGACCCTCAACTAAATCAATGCACGTCAACTGAGGACATCTCAAATTGTCTCCATGCTTCATTCTCAGAAGCATTAAACAGATCTACATTGACTAAAGTATCTCTTCCAAACAAAAAAAAACTGAATCCATGGGCTAACGATGAAATCTTGAAGTTATCTAAGATGAAACAAAAAATATATAAAAAATTGAAAGCGGACCCAAAGAACCTTCAATATAAATTACTGCATAGAGATATTACCAATGAATTAAACACCCTCAGAAGAAAATTAAAGAAAGAATACTACAATAATAAAATGGAGTCGCTCTTGGTCAAGAAAAAAACGGTTTGGTCAATCCTTAATGAGCTATCAGGTGTCTCCTCAAAGAAAGAAACCAAGATTGTGTCAATTGACTATGAGGGAACCCAATACAATGAACAAAAACAAATAGCGGACATAATCAATCTCTTCTATATTAACGTTGGACCAAGCCTCTCGAAAGAACTTCCTCAAGGGATTGGTAGCTATCTGGATGCTGTTCCACTCTTCAAGGAAGACCTAATTCTAACTAATGTAACGGAGGAAGAGATAACAAGAATAATTAATGAACTATCAAATAAACACTCAAGCCCTAATGGTTTTAGCAACAACTTAATGAAGAATTTAGCACCAGCTGCAGTTCCTATATTAGTTAAACTGAGCAATGCATCCTTTAGAGAAGGCATCTTCCCCCATGAACTCAAACTCTCAGAAATCAAACCAATCTTTAAGAGCGGCTCTGCTAAGGATCCAGGTAACTACAGACCCATCGCAATCTTATCATCCCCCTCAAGAGTACTAGAAAAAGCAATGTATGACAGATTACAAGAGCATCTTCATAAAATCAATTTCTTCGCTGATTGTCAATATGGTTTTAGAAAAGATAAGGATGCACAAGGAGCCATCTTTGATCTCGTTGCTACTGTTCAGAGGAGTCTTGATCGCAAAATGAAATCGGTTGCCATTTTTATAGATCTTAAAAAGGCATTTGATACGGTCGATCACCAAATTCTACTCGATAAACTGTCTAGGTGTGGTGTCAGAGGATTTGCCCACCAGTGGATTACATCCTATCTTCAAGAGCGCCTGCAATATGTCAGACTTGATGATATCTGTAGTTCTCTATTAACTATCCTGTGTGGTGTTCCTCAGGGATCCATTCTGGGGCCTCTTCTGTTTCTGATTTATTGCAATGATCTTAATAATGTCCCCTTAAAGGGAAGCCTAAAACTATTTGCTGATGACACTGCACTAGTATATGAAGGCTCGGATTATGAAAGCATCCAAGAATTAATAACTGAAGATCTTAAGACTATCTTCAACTGGTTCTGCTTAAACAAACTATCCTTCAATGTGAAAAAGACAAAGTACATGATTTTCCACAAGTCGTCAGAAGAACCTAAGGACTTGCAAATTTTATTGGAAGGCCATAACCTGGATAGAGCTAAATCCTTTAAATATCTGGGATTGATCCTGGATGAGACCCTTAATTGGTCTGAACATATACATGCTCTGCTTCCTAAATTACGAGCTGCTAATAGACTTATGTTCCGCCTTCGAAAAATTTTGGGCATTGACAAGCTCCTCTCTTTGTACTATGCCTACTTCCACTCTCACCTAACGTATATGTGCAATATTTGGGGATACACTAACCAACTCCTAGTGTCCAAGATTCGAGTGCTGCAGAATGGTATACTAAAAACAATGCTGTGCGTGGACAGATTGTATCCCACTACTCAGCTGTACGTAACAACTAAGGTGATGCCACTGGATGTCCTCATCAAATCTAGACTTGCATCTATTATCATTAATCATATCCTGAATTTTAAGAAGATTACATCTGCCATTGTCTCGATAAGCTCTATCCATGAAAGAAATACCAGATCTCAAAACCTGCTCACTCTACCCCAAGTTAATTCCACTACTTATGGAACGCAAGGTATCTACTATCAAGCATTGAATATTTATAATAGTCTTCCTCACCACATTAAGAACCTAACGAGAAAAAACAGCATCAAGAAACAATTAAAAGCACATTTCTTCAGTTTGTTCTGTGAAGGAACTCTACCTATCTACTATAATTCTAGTCG